GCATGTGCCCTGTAGCAAAAACCTCTCCAAAAAAAAAAAAAAAAAGAAAAAGAAAAATCAAATCAAATAATAATAAGAGAGAAAAACCTTCTGAAGAGGAGGTGGAGGAATTACTCAGGCCCTGGCAAGGCAAGCACTGGGCCATGTGATTCACAACAGCATGGGTTGTGAGAGGACTGCCTCCCCCACTGCCCAGCCAGTCTAGTGGTAGGCACAAGTGACTTGTTTCTCTCTCCATGGGGCTCACCTATAATTGGCCCAAAGAGGGCAGAGTTGGTGGCTATAGGGTGTGTGTTTGTCTGTGTAAGTGTAAGAGAGAGAGAGGGTTTTCCAAGTACCATTTAAAGAGTTGAAACATTTTAGTCCACATGTTAAGATTTCTGTGCCTGATGACTTCCTCCCTCAGACTGCTGAGGCCTTTACTGAATCACCACGGGCCCATGGCCCAGCCTGAAGGAGGGGATGGTTTTCTAAAATAATAATTGTATCTCATCCATGTGGAGAGTGATCAGTTGCTTCAAAGTGCTTTTCCTGGGACCAGCAGATGGCATAATGGTTATATCACTGAACTTCCACGTAGTCGACTGTAGTTTGAGGCCTGCACTCAGCAGCTTAAAACTCACACTGGGTGTGTGAATGTGTGTGCCCAAGACCCCAGGAGGAGAATGAAGGAGAAGGAATTGTGGTGTGGCCATCCTCCCCAGGAATGATTTCTCACTTTTTGTCTTTCTGACTCTCATACGAGTACACACATCCTATAGCAAAAATCTCTCTTTTTTAAAAAAAGTGCTTTTCCTTGTAGTTATCCTGTTTGATTCCTGTTGGGTGGGGAGATTGTTCTTATGCCCATTTTCCAGATAGATAAAACTTAAGGTCTCATGGAAGTCACTTGGATAACCCATGAGATCCACAGAGGGCTTTGAGAGAGGCAGAAAGGGGTTCTTAAGTATAGGTTTGCTTGTAGGGATTTGGGAAGAATTATACTCTATTCCTCAGCTTGAGGCCTACAATGCTCTTTCCAGTGCTGGGAGTTAGAAGGACCTTGGTGTCTGACCCAGCCTTTGTCAGAGCAGTTGCACCTGATGTTAGAGCCGTTTCATGGATAGTGGAGGAAACTGAGACATTGAGGAGGGCAGCAGAAGGGGTTGCCTCCTGATTTGGAGCCTGGTATGTCTTCAGAGACTCCAAGAGCTTTGAACTAACTAAATAGGTTAGACATCATCTGGTTCTGATTTCCCAAACCGAGTGAGCATCAGAATCCCTTGTTGTCGTTAAAAAAATAAAATGTGATTGGTAGACCACTTCAGAGCTCCAGAATCTGGGATTGGAACCCAGGAATCTAGTTTCAAAAGCTCCCAGGCATTTTGATACACAGCCTAGAATGGGAACCACTGGTCAAGCCCATTTTCCAGTTGGGGCAGTGCAGGCTCAGAAAGAGCCATGATCCTCTAGCAAGTCAGCGTCATTAGATCTGAGAATACATTGAACTCCCTCTATTGAGCCCCTTTCACCAGGGCCCTGTGTGGGCTTCCTTCAACTTGTTCCCAACCCTGAAGTGGGGAGGGACAAAATTTGATAAAGGGAGTGAATCAATCCCTAAACTGCATAGACACCCAAACTGGCTGCCTCAGTTTACCCTCTATTCCCAGCTCTCATGAAGGTTGTCATTTGGCAGATCCAATTAGAAGGCAGCTGCAGTTCCGAGACTCCAGGCAGATCAAGCCCTGGCATCAGCCCAAAGGAAGGGCTCTGGAGGGGTGTCAAGTGAAG